TTCAGGCAATACCCCGAACCATTATATAATTGCAATTTTGATCAAAATTCAAGTTAAGTGGGTTAATATTAAACAATATTAAGAAGTGAAGGAAGATATAATTAATGACAAAAAAATAATTAAAACATCTTGTGGTTACACATTAACCGAATATATATATAACATTATTTGTGGTTACGTGATTGATAATGCTATAACAATGACCAAATCGTTCACGTATAATTACAAAAAGTAATTTAATTAGCCAACTATCTATAATGAATAGAATATAATCAATATAGAACTATTATACTTTCTATTAATATGAGTTCAGGGTTATAACATAGCCGTGCACAGTCAAAATAAGAAAAACATTTAGAATCACATAAAGTATAATATTATATGCGGTTTAGGGTTAGGGTTACTTATTAAGGGTTTATGGTTTATAGTTAGGGTTTAGAATTAAAGTTTAGCGTTTAGGAGAATGTTAGGGTGTTTAGGGCTTTAGGGTTTAGGTTTAAAGGTTCGTGTATTTAGGGTTTAGGGTTAAGGGTTAGGGTTTAGAGTTTAAGGTTTAGGGTTTACGGTATAGGGTTAAGGGTTTAGGGTTAGGGTTAAGGGTTAAGGGTTTAGGGTAAAGGTTTAAGGGTTCAGGGTTTAGGGCATTTTATCCAAAACTGTATTTACCTATTTGCCCTTGGAATTAATTTCAAAAAAATATGAAAAATCTTTGAAATTTAATTATTCTTCAAAAATATATATTAAAATTTCCGATCTCCTTCCCCATCAAACAAAACCCAACAAAGAAAATTTCCGAAAATAATATAATTTCCAGTTATGTTAAGAATTAAAAAAAAAATATAAAAAGGCAAAGATGAAGTTTTTATTTTGTCAAATATTAAAAATAAAAGATATTGAAGATGTTTCGAAAAAGCAAAAGATAAAAACGTTGTTTAAGCTGTGGTATTGGTTGCCGGTAACAACCGTCACACCACCCAGCAATCTTTGCGAAACCACCGAAGTAATGTATTGCCCCAAGTGACCAAACTGGTAATTTGTTTGATTTTGGCATTCACTGCGTTGAAGATTCGAATAGTTGAGAATCCCAATTCCAATTCGAAATCTAGGAAGAATTATGGAGGATTTCAGGAAATTTATAACCCTAACCCTAGGTTTGGATTGAATTCGTGAATTGAGTGGAGGTATAATGAATTTGGGTCTCCTGCGAATGAATTTGATGGGTATTCGGGGAGCAATGGGGAGGTGGGTCATCATCTGGGTATGGATTGGGGGTAAAGAAGAAGAAAAGGGGGAGTGCGTTTGCGGAAGCTTTAGGGGAGACCAGAGACAATACAAATTTTTACCTACACCCTAGTGTAGGCAGAACTCCCTACACCCCTCCCCACTGCATTATCCTACACCTCTCCCCACTACATACATCTCCTCCCATCCTTCCCCTCTCCCATCCCAAATTATAGCAGCTATCACCGATTCACCGCATCTTACCTCCAAATTATATACAATATCCATCTATATTAACTCTAGAGAAATCCATTTTCAACAATCTCACCACCATTATCTCCTCTTTGACGACATTATAAACCTCGCCTCGTTCGTATAACCACCGTTTTATATAATCCGATTAAATCACAAGACTAATCACTTATAAACACTCGATTTCGATAAGGAATCTCGGATCTTTGAAATTAAATTTAATGGCAGTAGCACTACAAGAAAATAATCTTTTCGTAACGATTATTTTAACCTTTAGTATCGATTGTAATTGCAACAAAAAGCTTTCCCAACAAATGGTCATTAATATCCGTCGTTGCCTTAGCCTTTTAGTAGTGGTTTTCAATATCGCTGAGGTTGGCCTCAATAATCGATACGAAAAACTACATCCAATCGTGGTGATTATTGTAGCGATTATAATCGCTATAAATGTTGAACTCATTTTCTTCAAAAAAAAATAAAAAATCATACATATGATCTTTACAAGATTCGAACATGCAACCTCAAACTCTTATACTAAATGTTTCACCAATAAGCTATGACATATTTTATGTATTCTTTGTCAAACAATATTTATATATCTAGTGTAGAAAAGGCTTTTCGTATCGATTTTTGGGATTTAGTGGCGATTGTAAATGATACGATTTCCCAAAATTATATAAATGTGCAAAAATAGTGTGGATATGTATTATTATGTTTTCCGTATCGATTTTATATGGGAAAACCATGGCGATTGTAAAATGATACGATTTCCTTAATTATTTCACAAACATACTTGCATATTGTAGCGAATGTACAATCACTACAAAATAATCGTTACGAAAAGACAATTTTCTTGTAGTGTAGCAATTGTGTGCTCCTGGGCAACAATTGTGGTTATGACCGTAGTCATGGTTATGGTGGTGGTAGATGTATCTTCCATTATATGGAGTAGCGGCGGGAAATATAGGAGTTGATATTATATCCCATCACCACCACCATGGATCGTTTGTCACGGAGGAACGACGGCTTGAGCTAATTTGGGATGGCGTAGCGGGGTAGAAAATCGAACAGGGGAAATTGTTGGCAAACTTTTATAATTAAACATATAATATTTTTAAAATGAACATTTTTAACATTTTTTAATGGTTGTAAATGAACATTTGTTTTTATTAATTGTAAATGAACATTTATTATTTTATAAATGAACATTCAATTATGGAGCATTAAAATTAACCTATTGCGGATAACATGTTACAGTTTAATTATTTGATCAATAAAACAAACAACTTTCAAAGGATATTTTTGAAAAATAAGCACTATGTATCTAAAAGTCAATAACATAAAAAAAATTTAAGATATGTCAATTATAAAAATATTTAAAACTATGCAAATGAACATATAGAAATATGAATATATAAATGAACATTAATTATATTAATAATCTATTAACATGTGAATAACATCATACTGATATATAAATGAACATTTACCAAATTGAAAATGAACATCCATAAAATAGAACTTTCCGCTACGAACTAAATTTACAAATCTATATTCATATGAAATAGATTAAATTATCAAGAAAATTGCGAAAATTTAACCCTTTTTTTTTTTAATTTTTTGTGTCCAACAATTTTATAAACTAATAACATACCACAAATTTACAAATCTATATTATACTTGTGTTTTCGTTTCAAAAATCAACAAAAACACTTACAATTTCGATTTTCGACTTTGTTTTGGTAATTTTTCCAACGAAGTGCAAAATTTTCTCATATATTAGACATTGTGCTTGATTATTGCAGAGAACTGTAACTTTTTATTGAAATTTATTTGCAAATATAAGATTTTGATGAGAGAGAAAATGGGGAAATAAAATGAAAAGATGAAGAGAGAGAATTTGAATGGTGGATGGTTTTTTTTTTTTTTTTTTTTTTTTTTTTTTTTTAATGTAGTTAGTGGGGTATAGATTGTTACTGTAGCAAGTAGGTAGTACCGTAGTATATGGGATGTAAGGAGTTGGTGGAAGGAAGACTAATAGTAATACAGAACCGTTTTGCATGAGGGGTGTAGGTAGAAGACCCTACACTAGGGTGTAGGGCTCAATAACTATTAATATTAAGAGGCCTGGTTTAAGCCCAAGAAGCAAGTGTGCTTATAATCTACGGAGTATGTGCTAATAATTGGGGCCCAAACTTTCTTTCTTCATAGGACCATAGCTAGGTTGCACGAAAACGGAAACGAGAAACTGAAACGCGAAAATGCAGAAATGGGGAAACGTAGTTTTTAAAATTAAAGAAACGAAGGGAAACATGAGTTACTTAATATACATAAAATAGATTATAGAGAAATCACATGTTTTTATAAGAGGAAGAATAGTAAATGAAAATAGAGTGATGTAAATTGAAGCTCTCTTGAAAGAGTAAGTGAGTTTAAAGAGTAAGAATTAATAATTTTGTTAGAAATATTTTTTTCAAACCAATGAAACATTATTAAATATAAATTAGAGCTTCGGAAAAGTTTCCACAAATGTCTGAAACGAAAAGGTGTTGGAAACAGGAAATGCAAACCCTCAAAAGAGTTTCCGTGCATCAGAGGGCCATATATATAGTCAATGTAAAATGAAAAATTAAGACCATGGATGTGAGTCTTTAATCAATAAAAGTTGTACTTTCACCGTTTTCAAAAACTTGTAATAAAGGGTCAATTTATGTTAAAAATATAAATTATTAGAAAGGAGCTCGTGACGATAAGCACACGTCATGCATGATACATATGTACCCCACCTCACCCTGTCTTGCATCTTTCTCCATGCAAACACGTCTCAAATTAAGAGCAACATTTTAAATAAATTTTTTTATCTCTCACAAATATTCTCATTTGTTACCCAACTACAATAGTTGGGTAGCCATTATATTTCAAAAAAAAAATATTCTCATTTGTTGCAACTATTAAATAACGGAGTAAACTATGATAGCAATTACTTGTACCTTATATTTTAGTACTTTCATATCCATTCAAATACATTTTCAAACATTGCTTTATTCACATCAACTAATTTTTGCTAAACTTATGTTTTTAAAGCTGAACTTATTAATTTTTTTCTAAACTGAACTCATTTTTACTTAACTAAACTTATTTAGGTTAAAATCTTAACAAATGTCTCAAGGATTGAACTTAACGATACTGAACTTATTTTACTAAAACTTATTCAAATAGGAATAGGACCTTAATTTTTTTTTTTAATTCTTTAAAATGAGAAAGTAATGAAGACTCCTTCCTTCCACTTCCTTTCATTTAATTTTTTTTTTTTTTTTTTAATTTCGAACCAAACATTCTTTCAATTTCCTTTCTTTTGGATCCAAATCCCTTCTACCAACCTTGTTAGGGATTTCATATTACCTATTTAATAATTCAAATATGTTAAAATATTCTATTTAGTCATTTTATGTAACTTTAATTAATAAAAGCAGACTCTTATTATAATAATTTTGCAAATGCAATGGTTATTTAAATAAATAAAAAAATCGTGAAAGCAATGGGAACTGCATATGAAGTTGATTGTTTAGATTAAGTACAGCTTTGTAACAAAGAAAGTACATTATGTTTACTGATCAAGTAATCATTGATATGTTCTAGTAATACAATCAAGCAACTGTGACTCACTCTAGTGATATTAACCTTAATTTGATCAGCATGTGCCAAGCTCCCAATTATAGATTAGTGCAAATCCCAGAACTGCTCAAGCTTGACTCAGAGTAGAATAATGTCCTGAAATTATCTTTGTTGCTACAACATGATTAGCAGCTTCGGTACAATGAACTTCATCCCAATATATAGACTGTGACACATTGCTGCAGATGCTTGAGCCTGGTTGCCCACTTGTCGCGTTTTTGTCATAGAAGTATGGAGCCCCATGACCACAACAGGCTCCAAATTGATTCTTTAACAATTTGATGATTTTGTGTGCGCTAATAGTATACTTTTGTACTTAAAAAGAGCACAGCAAGCTTTCAATTAAAGGATAATTATACCATATTTTTCAACATAGATTATGACAGCATCGTCGTACACCGATCTTAGATTTGAGAGGAGCAATTGACAAAGATGTACACATCGCACAACCATTGATAGAAATCTGAATTCATGAACAAATTGTCTACCTGTCTTCCATGCAATGAAGCTTTAAATAAACTTAAAAAATGACTAAGAGATAACGCAGAATATCCAAGGTTTGAGAGAGCATCCACTTATATCTCAAGGTTGTTCTGCTTCATACCCTCCAAATTAACACTACAATTTCCATGCATGCAGCTAAACTATCAACCTAAATGACAAGCATGTACAGATTCAAATCAGATGTTGATCCACCAAGTGTAGACACCCAGGTTCAACTTCATCAAGCATTGCAAATCTTAAGGTCTTGCATGTCCTATAACACTGTGTCAATACAAAACTTTTGAAGACTTAAAAAGGGCCCCTATATTGATAAATTTCTAGCTAGCACTGTCATGCAATTTGAAAGGAAACAGACTTACAGGCTAACAGCTAAGTTTTGTAGCTTAGAAAAGTTACAAGAGAGCAACCCTTATTCAAATCACAAGATAAAACACGTCACTTGAGCTACAACATCCAAACCAATAACCATGCCAATAACAAGGAAGACAATAGAAAAAGGTAGACACACTGGAGTATTGCCAGAGCAAAAGAAAAGAGAAGTGATAACTGAAGCAAAAAGGAGAACAGACTCCCCCAATTTCAACATCTATTGCACAAATCTTTACAACAGATTTTCAAGATTAGAACACGATATCAGGGAAGCCTTTGCATATCAAAAGAATAACACTAATTCTGCTCAGCTTCCCTAACCACCCTCCCCCCCCCCCTCCCCTCTCGCGAGTGGACAGCGCCCATAGCATCATCGTCTATTTCATATAAGTCACTTCTAGTATTATTCTGATCCAGAAAGATAGCAAGAATAATAAGCTGTATTTAAGGTCCTTTAAAGTGATTTGGCAAAAGTTGCAAGAGATCAAATCAAAGATGCGAATCAAATAATTCTTATTTCACTATACTCTAAAGTCTAAACTAATAAGCTCGTTTTTTACTAAATTAATATTAATATAGCAAATCGACACCAGTTTAAATCCTGTTCCTTCTACCTCAGGATCCTGGTTTTGAAAAATCTAAATTTACATTTCAAAACTATCAGAGATAAGGAAAAAAATTCCTTGCTAAATTCTCATGTAAAAATTAGCACATATTAAACGCATCATTTAGTGTAAATTTCAACGACTTTCATCTCGCAACCCTTTATTTCAATTATTCGGCTAAATCAAATAATTGAGCTCAATTAGTTGCATACTAAAAAGAGCTAGAAACAGCAACGACGTAATCAAAGCAGCATATAGTGTAAATTTCACCAATTTTCCTCCAGGAATATCTATGTTAAGTTCTTCGCCTAACTAAAATAATTCAGCTAAAAGTAGTTGCACAAACTTAATTCCTTGACAAATTGATTAGGAAAATAATATCCAAAAACAGCAACAATGCAATCAAAAATTCAAAAATTAAAAATCAAAAGGACAAATCATGAGAGAGAAATAAATTACCTTACAATGCCAATTCTCATGATAGAAATGGCAGACAACACGATCATTGCTTATGCACACGAAAACATCCAATTCGATCAAGATCAGTGCCTTTACGACGATGCAGAGCATGTTCTACAGGTAAGCAGCCAAAGGGCCTTACGTTGTGGATCCAGGATTTTCTCCCACCATATATGGTAGTTTGTCTGTATCACATCAATCACCTTTAAAATAGTCCCCAGAATAGCAAAACTAATTAACAGTTAGAGTGTTGACGGCTTACCTGCACAGCTAATCTGATTTCTTCGAGAAGGGATGGAATCTTTCGAGCAACAGGACCATAAGTTAAGTTTGATGCACGAAGAGCCTTTACAAAATCGTTTTGTCCAATGTCAATTATATATAATGCACTGCGGAATCCTTCTTCATCGATCAAGTCCCTTGATCCTGCATAGAATGTAAGCAATAAGTCAACAGATTTTCTGATCACAGGTAACATTTCATAATTATGGACTTGTGTTCTACAGGAATAGAGAAACTACTGCTGCTAATAAGGTAAGAAGCTAGGCAAAGTATACCAAGTTACACGAGCTCAAGTGACTTGTTTTTAAAGAGTGATCTGGCGAACTTGAGCATTCAATGTAACTGGAAAGAACTCCGGCAGAAGGCTTGCACCCGCGACAGCAAAGTTGACTCCACTGGTAAAATTTGGTGACAGTAAATCCAATACAGTGCACCTGCCACAAAATTAAACATGAAACCAAGCTATTTCAGCTAGCTCTTCAATAAAACTTTTAGTGCTACAATATGACTGCTCAGCCCCAGAAGATAAACTTAGTAAGATTTTCAAAGCCCTATTACATTAAAAATCAGATCATATAGGATGAAAAATGAAGGAAGGCATCAAGTACAGATGTTTATAATAGGTATAGTGACAAATAACAAATAAAATCTTGATAGTTTGGATAGGCTATCCTTTTTTTTTTTTTTTTTTCTTTTTTCTTTTTTTGAGTTTTACTGTATTATACACTTACTACCATGAAAATCATCATATATTTTACATTAAATCGGTCACTTAAATTTTAGGAAGCAATAGGAATTAAGTTTGATTAATCAACAAGAACAAGCTTGGTACTATATGAAATCTTGCAGTAGCTTAATTAACCAAATTCATTAAACACTACATAGGCTAATGATTTTCATATGGATACATTTGTGCAAAATATCAAGTTTTTGCATACAATTGCGAGCTATGGTGCAACAAAATCAATAATCAGACAATATAAGCAAATTCTAAACATAAATTAGCAATATCAACTCACTCTTTCGCAAGAATTTCAATGGAAATGTAGCAAAGAAGTGAAGTGCCTTCATCCCAATCAAGACCAGGCCAAGAAAGATCACGCAACACAGCACAGCCTCCTCAGATTCCTTAGTAGACCTCTACATATCAGTATCCTCAATTCTCCGAACAAACTTTCCACCTTTCGACCTAAATACCGAAAATTTGCAGTATGAAAATTGCAAAACAAAAATAAAGTCAATTACTTTAATAGATAACCATATATGTAAAACTACGACAACCAGCATAACAAAAGGCTCACATGTCCATGATGGGTCTTCAAGACTTCAAGCCCCAATCCTCCACTCTACAATTGCCACCGATAACAAGCGCCTTGACAGGTACCTATTCAAATAATTAAAAAACAGAAGATAAGCTTACTAACAAATCCTAAACTTTTGAGAATGGATAGAGCTCATAGATACCAGCTCCCACAATCAATCAATTAAGGCAATAACTTTCCTACACATCAACATATGAAAAAAAAAATTCATTTTCATATTCCAATCAATGACTATAAAATCATTCTAGCAAGACAATACTGAAATACACTTGGATCTTTGTCATTCATAAATTATATTATACACTTAACATCTTGGCCATATCCTATTATTATATAGAATTATTTTCTGTGTATAAAATGCTAGCAAGCATGGCATATTAAGAATAGGTAGTTTTCTCAACATATAATAGAAGTATAAAACTAAAGAGTTCACTGATCCTCAAAGAACCTTGCAGAGTTCCTAATAAAACACCTCGGCCTAGGATAGGTAGTCTACGAAACCATTGATAATTTCGTAAGACAAATGCATCTTCAAGTTTCTTCAGATTTATCAATATACATTATTTCAATGGACAAATTTTACCTAGTTCCTTTAAGTGTCAATTTTTGCAATGTCTCAAATAAACACCTTTGACATAAAAGCAATTCACCATCAAACACAGCTTTCTAAGGTGAAACTATCAAACAGCAAGGATAATCAATGTTCCAGAGCACAACGAACAACCAGGAACATAAAAAATTCAACTAAAACCAATTATACAAAGCCTTAAACGTCTAAAACCCAGATACAATTAGAAAATAATAACTGAATCAACCTTAATGACCAGCCACTCAAAAACAATCAACAACTTAAACAGCTCCAACCAACATAACGACCTTTGTTTGGGCTCATGGTAGCCCAACCCTCCTAAGCTATTTTGAGTTATTAGATACTCCCTCCGTATTCTAATGATCTGCACATATACTTTTTGGGAAAGAACAGGAATAATGTATTACTTGTATAACGGGAGTGGGGTCAAAACGCAAAAATAGATTGGAGAGACTGAGAGAGGTAAATGGGATAAAAGTAAGGGAAAGTGAGAAAAGTAAGCGAAAGTGGTAAACCGACCGAAGCACAAACATATACACATATGAAACGGAAAAAGAAAAAACAACGGTGTGAGGCAACCATCAAGCGAACACTAAAACATAACATTTTCCAAGAAAAAAAAAAGACAAACAAAGGCCAACAAGAAAACAGATTCCAAGTGAAGCCAAAACCACACAAAGCCATGCAACTAAAACTCAGACAGACACCTCACAACAACTCAACAACACAGAACAAGAGAAAGAACACAGAATACATGGACCAAAAACCAATCCCCAGCAGACAAAGAAAGCAGGGCCTTCTAAACCAACCAGAGACGCACTACCCACCTCGCAGCGGAACAAAAGCAAAAAAAAAAAAAAAAAAAAAAAAAAAAAAAAAAAAAAACAGAAACAGAAACAGAAACAAAAGAGTCTGCTAACCATTTGAAAAAGCAGGAGCAAAAGGAGAAGCCAGAAAGAACCGAACGGGACACCAAAGCTGAAAGAAATGCAGACCACCATTTACAAGAAAGCAGATCAGCTACTGACCAAAGAACAAACAAATACACATATGAAACGGAAAAAGAAAAAGAACAGTATTGAGGCACCCATCAAGTGAACACTAAAAAAGAACAAATCCCCCCCCCCCCCCCCAACAAAAAAAAAAAGGAAACACCAGCCTACCAAAACCAAGAGCAACATAAAACCAAACACAAGAAACATATCAGAAAGGACTTTCTGATGAAACTCTCCACAAGTAATCAAATGAAATCTTTGCAGATTGCTGCGCATAAGAGCATAATCAAGAGTTATTATTAAGTGGGTATTATATCTATACCAGCAACAAAAGTTACAATGTTAATGCAGCATTCATATCTATACCAGCAATAAGAGCACCATGCAGTCATTACCTTCTGCTTAAATGGACAGCCCAAAGAAAAGCAACTCCAGCTCCAGCTCCTTATCCTCGGATGCAGATCTTAATCATCAACCAAACAGCAATTAGTCCTTAGATATAAGGATCATCAAAGCTCTTTAACAGATGTAGAACTAAGAACAAAAACTTTAAGTCAATGTACATATAATAAAAAGAATCACAGCAAGAATGGAGTTGTTGCTGAAAAAATGTGAAGAATGGAAATAACAAAGAAGCATTAATTTCATTATCAAAATTTATAATGCGGCTCCAGAATCTTTTATTAAGTTTGAACTTTTACTAAATCTACAAAACATCCATTATTCCATATAGTCAAGGCATTCGGTATAATATTACATCTAAAGTTATTCATTCTATCTCAAACTATCAATAATAATTATTAACATAGTACTTCATTACGAATATACCAAAGAATAAGCACATAACCAAATCGGAGTAGATAAATGTAGGTAAAGCAAAAATAAAATCCAATATACTGCCATTCTAAATTCTAAACCTTTTATCAAGTGAAGTTAAAATTACAAAGCAAGAACACCAAAACTCTAAAATTAAAGAGAGCGAAATAAGTTAATCATCATTGTTACAAGTAATACACAATTTTACTATTTTTATAGAACTAAAGATCTGAGTGATATAAATTAGTATACTTGAGAGATTTAAATGAGAGATTTAAATGACAGATTACCTAAACCTAAAAATTGATTTTGTTTGCAAATTCACAACCCTTACCCCATTAAGCAACAATATAAAAACCCTAAAACAAGAAAATCGAGCAAACGAACATGAAGGTCAAACAAACCGAACAAGGAAGTGTACAAAAAAAGTAGAAAGACCACAATCAAGAACACTATGGAATTATTCATTGTTAACATGACATGGCTTTGACTCAAGATTGCAGATCCAGTCAATCAAGTTTCTAACTCACACACACGACACACCAACATATAATAAACAAATTAAAGAAAGAAAATAACTCGGAGGGACAACGCAATATTGTGGAACGTGAATTTGCAACTTATTGATGCAAAAAGAATAATAACAATATTAACAAGTAAAAACTATAAGAAAGATGACAAAAATGATCAAAACAAAGAGACTAAACAGCTTGACAATTCGAAGATATTCTAAGACAATTTAACAAAAATTAACATTAAGACATACAGAAATGAAACCAAAACAAATTACCAATACAAAATATGAGTAGTGCCTGCAATTGAAGGTTGATTTGAGAGGTGTTGGCAGCTCCAACACTGCGTCTTTCTCTGTATATCGGCTATCCTTTCTAATTTGAATAACATAAGAAAATAAAAATGGAACACATACATGAGCAACAATAATAGTCAGATACACATCGTCACATCAAGTAAATTCATGATTTGGGAGCATAGTAGAATATTGCTTACTTGGGTAGCATTCAATCGAGCAACTCTCCACTTTCACACAACCTGATTACAAATGATAATCAACACCATATCAGTAACAAGACAATAGGTTAGTTGACAAAAGTGAGGAAAAGTTGAATGCCTCTTTTAAAGGAGAATACATAGCAGGCATCCTAAGATGCAGGATCTATCATTGAAGAGTATGAAAGTGTCTAGGGTGAAAGTGTGAATATGGGGGGTATAATGGGCATCCACATAATATAATAATATTACGTGACACAAACAATTAATGTCAACAGCAAACTTGCAAAATTACTCACTAAACCTCTTAAGAAATTCAAAAGGTTATAAAATGACATACCCTGTATTAAATGTCTTAAATCACTAGGTTATACAGACTAAATTTTCCTAGCCTTGACAACTTTGATCATTTAAATTATAATCCATTCAATGGAAATTCATTTAAATTAATTCAATGGTATTAACACAATCCAAGCATCTGATACAATCCTTACCATCATGATAACCTATCTTGCATTTCTTTATGTTCTTGGATACAACGTAGAGCAATACTAACAGCTTCCTTGGTAAACGAAGACACACATTACATCCATTATCATGGGTTCTTTTCAAAATTACCCAAATTTAGGCCATACATTACATCCATTATCTATGTCAACAAATCTCTATTTATTTTTTTATTTTTTTTAAATGGCCTTGAAAAAGATGAAACAGAAGAACAATGAAGTTACTGCATTCACTTTTATCAATTTTGTAAAATAAAGCTGTCTAAAGTTACCAATAGGCGTATATAATCTTTAGGCATTCCTGTGCTAAGGAAACTACTTGCATAAGCGGAGAAAACTAACCTACCCTAACTGTAGTATGATGTAATTCTTGATGATGTTCTAAACAAGCCTAATGTGTTTGCTTATTTATAATTTAAATGGCAAACCACACAAATACCCTCTAAAAAAGGAAAAGAAACAAAAAACAAAAATGTTGCATATATTATATAGTCTAGTTAGAAAATGTCGCTTCATTCTAAACAAACCTAATGAGTTTGCTTATTTATAATTTATATACTCAGTTTAAATATATCTGTCATACATTGTCCAAAGTACCCTGCTAAACCAAATAAGGCCTGAATAACTCCTTCACTAAACAAAGAACAAGCCCTTTTTTCATAGGACATGCAAAATAATATGCTTTTAATCAAGTGAGACGAATTATAGTATTAATGTGGAAGTTCATTGAATTAAGTGTAAATGAACACGCCTTCAAAATGCTTTTATAATGACATCTTATGATCAAACATAAACATATAGGAACTACAAACCAAATCACTCATCTTAAATTGGAAACATTGGTACCACGAGTGTTTATTCAATGGAAAAGAACCCTTTAAAATCCTCTCTAAATCAGCCCTTCTTCATGGCTTTTAAAACCCAGAAAACCCCCAAATAAAACCAGAAAAAAACACTCCTCAAAACCTTTAAATCTTATTCAAATTACCAGGACCCAAAAAAAAAAAAAAAAAAAAAAAAAAAAAAAAAACCATATAAATAAAGCAAAACAGTTGCTAAAAACTCAATCTTTGCAAAGAGTTTGTGATCCTCATAATGTTTTGTAGAATCTATATTGATACTCCATCTAATAACAAGTATGGAGGTAATAAATTACACTGAAGTTCATTAGGAAATTCCCCACGTCAATTTATAATATAACTTTATTCTTAACCATGTGTTTTCCTAAATAAATGTCCATTACCATCATATCTAATATTAAGCGGTAGTGATCTTTGATGACGAGAAGCTTGTAGGTAAACAAGCATTACCATGGTTATGAACATGACGCTTCTCTTAAAATTACATACAGCCTCATTAACATTACTGTCATTTATTATCTCTCACCAAATGATTTTTAAGGGCCATGTTTGGAATGAGGAGAAACAAAGGTACAAGATAGTTAATAAATTACCAGACAGGAAGGGTTGACAATTATTACCCTCATTAGGTAGTAATCTATTACCTTCTCTTCCTCCTCTCTCTTCCACCAAATACTTATGATCACCTCGCAACCATCCCATTTGCAACCCCTTTATGAATATTACCCTGATGTCCCCGTTCTAAGCATATAGTAAGTCATAAGTCACTATGCAGTTATCTAGTTTCACTCATTCACTACTGCTAATGAACATTTTGCAGGCTTCTCTTTGTTCAATAATATCCATAAAAGTCTTGTAACTAAGTGCTCATCTAGGCTGAGCTAGATAGCTTTGGTTGCTATTAGCTCATAATCACACCTATAAACCACACAGAGGAAAAGCCACTGTGCTATTTAGGCATTTAGGAACCTCCGTGTTTTTTCTCTTCAAAATGACCTTTAAACATTATCTATAGCCAGTCAGCCAATAACATACGTTCCTCATGTTTAATAAAATGATAATTATTTATGTTCCAACCATCAGCTGAAAATAACCACCTATACAACAACATAGCCTTACAAAGTTATCTTATAAATCATAGCATGGAAACCATATATAAGGGAAATAAGAAAAATCCAATCAAATAACATACAATGATATGCATACAACACATAGTGAAGGCTAATTTTCATATGGTTAAAGATGAATAATACTCAGAATATGGGAGCATTTACAAATTTACCTGAAGCTGATATGGATCTGCCACCATAAGGAGAAGGGAGGGCTTATGAACTCATTACCATAAGTCATGGGTTATCCTTATTATCCATTCCTGGAATTTGGACAGGGGAATATCCAAAAGGCATTGGCACACTCCCTGGAGCTGAGAGTGTGGGCTATCCAAAAGGCATTGGCAAACTCCCTGGAGCCGAGAGTGTGGCCTAAGAGGCTCACCATTAGTAGGAGTGCTGCTGATATCCCGATAGAAACTATATTAGGCAATTTATTTTTTCATTCGCGAGGAGCTGGATGAGAAGAAACTCTCACGTCCGGCGCTCAACGGACCCTTTTTTTGAGATACAAACCCCTTTTTTAATTTGAAAGCCATATTTCGACCCGGACGTTTTCTGTATCAAAAGTGTCATGATATGCAAGCAGCCTTCTTTCTACCCATCCCAAGATAGCACTCAGAAACTTAGAGTATACTGTATCCCTCGTTGTCTTTGCATCCCTTGCTACTTCTTTTAGATGACCATCTGCAGTTAGGAGTTCCAAGTTCAACTTGACCAGTTGCAACAAAACGATTACAAAGAACCCATGTAAAACAGAGGTTATGCAACAACTGGATAATGCCAAGAATAGGCCAAGTTTTCTTGGTCCATAAGTTCATCAACCTCTTCAATAACTGTTGATACAGAGAGGGAACCCATCAGCCCAATGACAAGAATCAGACAATCCATCAGCTGCTCTGCAAGCCAAAGCCACTACAGCACTACGAAGAACTTGCATTGATTCGTTATTATACTGGTCTCTCCAAAGCTCCACGAAGAAACTTTTGAAAGTTGGGCAGCAACTTCAGCTTTAAGATCAGCTTCAACAATCGTCCAATTTTGTTTTTGCCATGAGTCATACTCTTGCTGAATGCTGATCAGTAAAGTCTGACAACTTCAGCTGTTGTAGCAGCTCAAGTGGCAGTACCAAGTTATCAATACGCTTTCCAAGCTGTGACAAGAACATTAAATCAGTCACTGGATCAGTTAAACTTTGGTTAATGTCTAAGACCCAAACAAAATACTTCCTCTTATCCATGCTGCATAAAGATCAAAGATAATAGCAAATGCATTGAATTAAAAACAAGCTGAGTTACCAACTCAAGCACTTTCAGCGCTTCCTCTCTGCAACATGCCTTGCTCAGTTCAGCCTCAACAAGAACCACTTCATCAACAAGGGTCAGGGGCCATTAACATACTGAGAAATTGCAATACTGAAGTCCCAGGAAGTCGAATACATTCTGAAGTAGCAAGAATTCAATATTGTGTCCAAAAAAAAACACTCCGAACCCTCATCTTTCTTTCTAAACTGATCTATCATTCTAAAATGCATCTTAATTCTTCTACAACATAATTATCTTAATTATTTTTAGAAAACAAGTATTCAGCGTCCAGAATTTCAAGTGAAATAACATCTTAATAAAAATGATAAGTCTTTACTGTTTAGCAATGCAACATGCTGCCTGAAGATTATATCCAGAACTCTCAAAGCTTTGTTTCACAATTAAGATATCAAAAGTTCTTAGAAATCCAGATAAAAATATTAGGCATATATCAACATACATTGTCACAAAAGGAAAAAATGTTATTCATCTATTCATGGCTAATGCCAATATCAACATTAATATCAAAGTACAGCAGCCACAACCAACAGGAACAGTCACTTACAAACAATCTACCTTAGACCTATATTAAAGTTCCACCTAACACAAAACCTTCTTTGCACAATTTAACAAAAAAATCTTCCAAATAGCAAGGAACCAACTGACTGGTAGCAAGTTCAATATACTGACATATCAAATAATCTTCACTGTCAGCCTTTTGAATAAAAGGATCTCCGGTTCTTTGACTCCTATCCTTGCAAAGTGCATGCACCAATCTCACATATCCGAGAAAATGTTTTTGATACCAATTTGGAGCATCATCAGTGCCAACAGAGTTGTAGGAGTGTCCTACGCTACCACCAGTGTGATAAACTCTTGAAAGAGGAGTGTTTTCTGGTATACGCTTTGCAAAATCTTGTTTAACTTCGACAAGATATAAGAAATTATCATGAATTTTCGAATCCAAAGAATTCCTTTCAGGTGCAAACTCACCCATAAAAGAGACAAACCCATCATTAGATAGAGGTGTTGATCCTTGAACCCACTCCTTATACACCAGCTCGTAAAAACCAAATCGTGCAGACCAGTCCCAAAGGCTAGGGTGATTTTTAATCACAAAACCATTTTCCGTTTCCATTGTCTTCCTTAAATGCAGCAAACCATCAGGCAACTTAACCCCACCCAAAATTTTATTGAAAATAATCCCATCCAATCTCAACATATCAAGTTTGGCTGACTTTTCTTTCAAAACTTTAGCTTCATCCTCAGCTGGGTTCGTGTTTCTAAAAGTCAAAATGCAATCCACATCAACCACATATTTATCCGACATCAAATGATACTCTCTTTTTTTCAAAAGAAAGTTCTCTGTGTTATGTAAATAACCATGAAATTCATCAGCAGCGTGAAAATCAACAACCGCTTTTAAGATGCTCCTTATGATCAACCTTGGATTATCATCTAAGCGCCTACTATCCCAATTGTCCATGCAATCAACTCCATTTTTTTTTTTTCGAATCTTCTTGATTCCAAACATCATATAAAGCAGACCAAAGATGAAGGTCTACTTTTTCTTTCCTTTCCAGCCAATCTTTCAGTGTAAAATCATATTTGAGACTTACGAGCTCTTCTTTCATCGTTAACACAGTTGGTCTAGGCTTTTCATCTTCTTGAAGTTCTTTTACTTTTACTTCATCTTCGTTCACTTCGTCAACTTCCATATCATCTGCTACTTGCACTTTTTCCACCACTTCTGCTACTTCCACTTCCTCTTCTCCCAAATCTTCTATGTTAGCTTTATGTACTGGAGATTTAGCACCCACATTTTGTGCTTTAGAAGCAGGTCTCTTCATCTTTTTATCTTTTCGCTTCTTAGTTTTTTCCACCTGGAAATCATAAATAAAAAACTAACATATAACAAGCATAGAAACAATGTTATGAATTGCCAATGAAAATGATTTTTCAAAGTCATTATTTGTTTGTACTTTGAGATTTTTCAAATTCCCAATGGTGGATCCGTGCTTTTGAGAATCCTCAATAGTGTACATAAACTTTTTTTAATCTCAATGGCTTCCCAAATGTAGTGTTATGGATGGAATATTCTGTTAGATAACAAAATTTTCCATTAAATTTAACCCATAAAGAAAAATAAAAACCCCCACTTCCACCCAGCACCGCCTACCACCACCCAATCAGTGTATGAAAAGGCACAAGGCGCACTGAGGCGCTAGGGGTCTTGGAGCCTAGGCGCAAAGAGCAGGCGTTAGGCGCGCGCCTTATCGAAGTGAGGCGCACTTTCACATAATTAAGCCTTTTTTCACTCATATGCATACATAACCCACTAAATAAACCATCATAACACATAATAATTTAACAAAGGTTCTAAATATTATCATTTTAGATCATGTTTAATCATTTTAAGCAGCAAAAGATACTACATATCAACATAGTTAGCATTAATATGAAAAGGATATGGAAGATTGGCATTATATATAGTCTTCTTCTTGTGCAATGTCTTCCTCCATGTCATCTCCATCAAGTGATACCCTTCATCGTCTTCTTCCTCTTCTTCTGTTAGGATTTCATTGATTTAGTTAGAGCAAAAACAGCAGTGAATAGTGACCAACTAATAACAGCAGTAACCAGGAAGTAATGAACAAAGCAGCAAGGAATGCAAAGAACAGATTACAGAACAGCAGCCAGCAAATTATAAACAAAACAACAAGAAATGCAAATAATAGAACTGCAGCAAGAGATGCACAGGCTAGGAAATAGCAAAAACAACAAAAACAATGCCACGTATATAATGTATATATTACTATAAAAGAAACAAGACAACACATATTAAAGGGAAGAAAATGTATGTTTTATAATTATTATTATTATTATTATTATTATTATTATTATATACATTTATAAGTTAGTGGCTGTTTTGTCAATAAAATAATGGTGGGCATGTGATATTTAATGGTGGAAATTGGAAAGCAATAAATAAGTGGTCCATGGAAGAGATAAATAATGATTAAGAAAATAAAAAGTTGAAAACTTCCTCCTCTATATAAGAGCAGTTGAAGATCAGTAAAAAGAAAAAGAAGATGAGAGAGAAAGAGATGAAAGTAAGTAAAAAAAGATGGAGAAAAGATAGCACATAAAGAGAGTACCTTTTTGCTTTCTTCTTCTTTCTTCTTCCTGCTTCAACGTGATACTGCTACTTTCTTCAATGTTCCATTTTCAAGCTAGGGCTTGCTGGGTGTACGTGTCTTCTCCTTTTCTCTCTCTTTTTTTTAACCTTTCATCTCCACCCTTCTAGACTTGTCAGCTCTCATAATCTTCAAATTGGGCTTTGGCCCACTTTCTGATTGTTAAGGGAAGTGTAATAACATAGTAACATATAATATTATAATAATACAAGCATACACAATTTTCAACAGAAAAATTTAAAGAAGCACAATATCTCAACACCTTGCGCCTCAATGCCTAGGCGCGCCTTACCACAAATGCCTCGCCTAGACTCAATTAAGCGCTTACCCCCATGCGCCTTGAGCCTTAGCGCCTAGGTGCGCCTCAAGCGCGCCTTTTCAAACACTGCACCCAATACCATCGGCCTCCACCCCAATTCCACCTAACGACGCCGGCAAAACTCCCTGAACCCACCCAATACCGTCGAACCACCCTCAAACCCCAAAAACAACCCACGAAAACAGCCACCACCCCCTCAAACCCTAACAACAACCCACGAAACTGCCCACTACCCCTTGAACCACCCTCAAACACCCGACAGCCCATGAAACCCACCGGAACCACCCACCACAAACCGACATTACCCACAAAACCCCAAACCACCCACGAAACACTACCTCTTTTCGAGCCATACCAGCCACCTCCTTCCATCCACCCCCACCCACTTTCGAACAATTAAGGGATCTTTTTTGGTGGTTTACGTGGGGAGTTCAAAGGAGACAGGGATTGGGATAGTGGAGGTGGAAGGCGGTTGTGTGTTGACCGATTAGTTCTGGGGTGTATGCGATGGCAGCTAGTGGTTTAGGTGATAGCTGGTGGTGCTAGGGTGGTGATTGGCGATGGAGAGAGAAGAGAGGTGGTTAAGGTTAATATTTAACAGTTTTAAGCAAACACTAGTTTAGATATATTTTTGAGATTTAAAATAATTTAGATACACCATTGAGAATTCGTTAAATAACAGGTACTCCGTTAGAAAGTTCCCTAGGTTTAATTACCGTAGGCTCGGGCAATGCATTTGTAGGTAGATAAGAGGCCTTCTCCAGTCTTGAAGAAAATTCCAAAGTCCAATCATGTACCCTATTTCATATTTCAATTACAAAATACAATATGTTAGATGATGGTGTAGAATAATTATGATCATGATCATAATCATAATCATAATAATCATCATAATGATAATGATAATGATAAGATTATGATATGTCAAATTATAAATGCTAATACACATGGCACATACATATTACATTTCACTCCAGCTGAAAAACCTAATGTCTTCCCCAAAGTATCCTTTAAAGTCTCCTGATTGTGCAACACCAATTTTAGTTAATCTGATAACTTAAAAAAAATACAATTTTAAAATGAAATTTTGAACACAACTTACAACAGTTGTGTCAGAGCCATCTAAACCAAATCGAAAATTGTCTCCCCAGGACATTACCTGTAAGAGAACAAAAAGATTATTACATGTAAGAGAACAGAAGATATGATGTAAAAATTAAGATGAAAAATTCGATTAAAAAAAATTTCAAGACACTTACTATAACAATGTTATCAACTGATGCATCCACGATCTCAAAAAGAAGCCTAAAACAGCGATGATTAGCTTCTTTAACTAAGTAGTCCTCTATAATTTTGTGTTGGTATTCCTGAATAAGTATTTACAAGTTAAGCGTCATAATTAGAATTTGGTTTCCAAAACAAAACCAATAGTGATAATTTAGTAAAATATTAATAACTTATAATACGCAGGTCAAAACTTTATAAGCCATATAACACAAAAGCAGCTAATAATATACTTTCAACTAAGATAAAATTGAAAGATAAAGGTAACAATGTTTGCATACTTTATTGTTCAAAAAACACAACTTTGTTGATAAAGGTGAGTTTTTTTAAACAACATGGTCATTAAAGGTACTTTTTGCAAAAAAAATGACATAAAAGGCATTTTCAGAAAAAAGTGGACATAAAAGGTGCATCCTGACTAAAAATTCTATTTTTAATTTCATCTTTGAATGTAGCCCTTTTTTACAATATGTATCACTTGTGTTTCTCTGCCTTGCCTTGTTGTCACTACATATCATGTTGCTGTTATCGGGAAAAAATTATGATAATAATTCCACCTTTTACTCATCTTCTCAAAACAGTCTGAGTTTAATTTTTCATTTTATATAAACCGACCTTTATACTTTATCCGCTTAAAATGGTCCCTAACATGTAGGCAATCTATGGTAACCCGTATAATAAGTTAATTGAGACATGTGTCATGCAAGGTGCAACAATCTCAATTTTATAATATTGAATAAAGAGATTAGACATAGATAATCCTCATCCTCACCTCTGGTACTACAATGATATCAAATTTTTCAAGATGACCAATCTGTCTTTGTACCACTGTTACATGATGATGTTCTGTAGCAACCTGATAAAGAGGCCTTTCTTTAAGATTCTCAATCTCATCCAAGGATCCGGATACCTTTGAAATTGACTGCTGACGGTCAGCGATCGTTTGTTTCACCCCAGCTATAAGATCTGTCTCTTCCTAAACGTAAAACATATGAAGTGCAAAACAAGAATCATTAATTAAAGCATGAAAAACACATTAGAATAAAAGGTAGAAGCATATAAACAAAAACAAAAAAAATCTAGCAAGCTTTAAATAAATTAGATAAAACTCATGATTCAAAATACCTTGAAACCAACTAGACATATCTCTTCCTTTTGGAAAGGACATCTCTCCACAACAATGATTGAAACTGTTTTGGATTCATCATTAAAATCTTTCATTGGGCCATTTATACTCAGCTTCCATCCAAGATCAAAACATTTGAAAAGATGAACTATGAAAACAATGAATTAGAAAACGATATCTTAGTAATATATGTATTAATAACATATCAAAAGGAATAAAGTTGACATTAAAGTACTTCATACCTATAATCTCACTTATAGCATTCACTGTAAGGTAAATGAACATTCCTTGAAGCTTTAAAGATTTCTTCACCTGCCACAACAACAAAAACAAAGTTTGAGAAGAATGAGGTTGAAAGTAGAACAAGAAGTGAAAGTAAAGGATAGGACAAGAGAAAGCATGGCAAACCAAAAAAAACCAGAAAAAAGTTTGAGAAGGTACTATGAAGAGGGCTAAAAAGAAGATGCAAAGAGAACATAAATGTTAAAGAAAAAAAATAACTATAAAATTAATAATAAAATAGATAAGAGAAATTTTTCTAAAACCTTATACTTTCTCCGTAATAAAATACATGTTACACTTTCATAATATATATGAGACATATTTTATTAAAGTGTAACATGTATTTCGTTACGGAGGAAGTATAAAATTTTCTAAGATAGAAAAAATTGGCATCATAAATCCCAAGTTGGGGTGTTTCCCATCTTAATACCATGTGTTCATTATTTCTAAATTATCAGTCCCAAGTTTAAATGCATTCTTGCCATCTTTAATTTCCTCTTTCCTCCTTAACCTCACCCATCAAACAAAATCAACATTCAAAACCCACTGCAATGATGACACGTGCAACCTGACCACAACATCCATGAATGCCTACCCTATCCAACACCCTCACATCTTCAGCCTTGAAGATTGTTGTCTTATTGCCCAAGCATGATAACAACCTTCAATTCAATAAAGATAAAATTTACATCAACCCACCTTCTCCAATACAACCTCAACAAAACAACCCAATGGTAATGAAACTTTGTTTCATTGTTTCTCACTTCCATAATCATGAAAATCAAACTGAGCTTAAATAAATATATTGTTTTAAGTCCAAAAGAATCATGGGTCGTGATGTGGAATTGTAGATCATAATGCTGTTAGTTGAGATGATTTTAGGGAGAGGAAACACTACCATTTAAAGGAAAAGGAAGGGGTTTAAGTAGGAACATAGTGCCCATTTCACTTATGTTTTCTTTGCTTTTCAAAAAGTCTGGCAGCAACATTAAGGAAGTAGGGCACTGCTAATTAGTGTTAGACAATTTTTATTTAAATTTCTATATTGTTGAAAATCATGTATTATTATGTCTCTAGTTCATATTAGAGTTAAAATAAAGCAAAACTCCGTTTTAATCCCATTAAAGATTAGGCAGCATTTTGATGCCCCATTATATATACATACTTCCTCCATTTTTTTATAGTTGCATTGCAAGAATTAAGGAGAGGATAGAGATAGAGAGAAAGAAATAATGGTACCCATGTGATAGGAGAGAAGTAGAGAGAATTAATTGCCAAGAAAAATGATGCAAGTAATTTGTAACTTCCTAAAAAGGAAAACGATGCAAATAAAAAAAAATGGAGGAAGTATATTTTGCTAGTAGCAATGGAACAGCCAGTTGGGATGGTGGCAATAAAATGGCTTAGATAGTCCAGAAGGGAAAAAAGGGGAGGGGAAGAAGATTGTTGCCTATCATCATCAAACTTCTCTCCAAAATCATGACATGTGCGTATATAACCTTTTGGCGATCTATGAGTTGTGATCAATATGAGAAGACTATCTCTAAACTTGGGATTGTTAAGATGTAACCAAAACTTATAATTTCTAAAAGCAAAATAAAGCAATAATATATTATATTGTGAACATGCCGAAAAACAAACCTTCTCAAAATGTCCAGAAATTGTAAGCTTCGAATTAGATTTGACAGAAATTTTAAGCAACATATCAGCATAGCCCACATCAATGACAGCATCACACCTCTTGGGCATATCCTATATTAAACATATTAATATTTAATGTTATAAAAAAATAACAAAAAGGCAAAAGGAGATAATAGTAATGATACGTAATTCTTACTGTATCACAATGAAAGTAATTCAAGTGGCAGCAAGTTTGTTCAATATGTTATGTGAGAGTCAGATTAGGGCACAGGGACAAAAATTAATTTTGTTTGTGAATTGGTGAGAATGTCGAATGATAGAATTAATAGAATAATGAAGGAAAAACAAGTGAATCTCAAAACTTTATAAGAATTTAAAAATCTCAATCCAAATAGTTTGGTTTAACTAGAAAACCTTAAGCAATCTCAAGCAAAAGCAACAAACGTAATGTTTGATAAAAGATAAGCAACAACACACTTATACATATGGCACCACAGGAAAGTGAATAAAAAACTAAAAATTACCTAATATATGATAAGGAAAAAATGATATAATCCAAATACCACATGAGCTAATTATAGTCACTTTGAACCACATCAAGTAATTACCTTTGGCATAATGTCAACACAAATGTCAGTAATACGCTGTTTCAACTTTTCGGTGACATAAGTGCTTAGAATCTTGTGTAAACAAGAAGTGCACTCAAAACTGTTAACCTTAATCTGTGTTTTCACCCTGGTACCAAGAAATGCATCCAGTTGGAAAAAATTGCAATTCTTTGGCAGAGGGGGATCTTTTAAGGATGGGAGTGGATGAGTCTTAACATCCAATTGCCCTGATGACCCTGCAAATTCAGGTAACAATATATAAACAAATTTGAAAAGATAGACTAAAATTTCATCAGCAAGAGAGAGAAAAATGGATAAGGATGAAAAGATACAATCAGTTCAGCTCAGAATAGAAATGTCAATATAGTAAGACAACGTAAAGTTGGAAGCAGTTAGCTGTGTAGAGAAACTACGAAAAAACTGAAACATTTCCTAAAGTGACCACACCACCACAGCGAGCACTTATGCCACTTCAAAAAAAAAAAAAAAAAAAAAAAAAAAAGACCCACAACCTTCTCATCATAATCTTCACATATACATTAGCTTATTAGAAGAAAATCAGTCAACATCTACGATTAAACACGATATAATATTATTAACAATACAAATAAGCTAAAGCATCCCCTCAACAACCACACATTTTTTCTGTTAATAAATTAGAAAGACAAAGCAAACAGAGAAAAAGAATGAGAAATGAAAATAAGATTTCAAATCAGAATACAGAAGATAGGCACGCGTACATGTTGGACAAGAATACACAGAGTCATATATGGCCATTTTTTCATGCTCTGAAATATCAAATACAACAATGACGTTTCAAAATTCCAGATTTCAGAAAAAAAATTCAGAGCACACACATTTGAGAGAAAAACAAAAACAAAACAAAACAAAAAAATATTTCCTCTTATTGCAGTTATTATTGAATGTTCTCTAAGAACATGAATTCGAATATAATTAAAGTGACAGGCATCCAACGTTGATACACAAAGAACAAAAGATACCTCCAAATGATGGCCAAGTGCTAATGGAAGTAGAGAAGGCAGCATCTTCTCCCTTCATCTTTTAATTCTAGAAAAACCAATTAAAACAAATTATGTTAGCAAAAAAAAAAATCAGTACAATGTTAAAACACTGTTCTCTCACTTTCAAACTTCTCGCCTTCCACGAATATACTTGTTGCCCTTCAAAAATGCATGTAGAATCTCTAATTTCTTAACAAGCCAGCAGATTCGAAATAACCAAACACTAAACAACAAATACAAACCTCTATAGTTTACATTTGCCACAAAAAATAAAAAGATAATTCAAACGAATCAAATCCAAACAAAACATGTGTAGAGATTTCCCTAATTATGTAAATCTAAACTCATTCAATTATAGAGAAGATATAATAAAAAATAAAACAAACTATTCTATTGCACTTCTCATTGACACTCTGATAAAAGGGACACCATATGCGCCATTGCAATGTAAGACTTAATTCTATTGCACTTCTCATTTACACTCATATATTACGTAAAACCAATAGATTCAACAACCTTAAACCCCAAACCAAAAAAAATACAGGTAGAGATCTATCCAATTATGTAAATCTAAACTCATTAAATTAAACAGAGAAGATATAAGTAAAACAATCTACCAAAAATCAGAAACTAGGGAGTATAAATCATCACCAACAGATATAAAAGGACTCCGTTTGCGGTATTGCAATAAGAGTGACACCAGAAAAACACAGCCATAGCCAGATTAACAAGTTTAACAGATGAACCGCAAAAGTGTATTAAACACGGATAGTTAGACAAAGTACCAAACAATATCAGCTCAATATCATACAATACAATCAAACAAGGATACAAGTAATGTACCTTGGCAGCAGTAAAGGTTGAAACGGACTGGTTGAATAGAGCAGCAGTGACAACTTGGAGGAGAAAGAACTGGCAGGGGCATGCCCAATAAAAAAATCACAAATAAATTCATAGCTAAACCATAAAAACTCCCAAAATTCAAGGATAAACATGACTCAAATAAAAAAACATAGAATAATTCATACCCACGTCATGAACACTACCAAATATCAGAAAATAAACAAGATCCAGATCAAGAAACACAATATCATTCGTACCCATGTCATAAAAACTCCCAAATATCAGAAAATAAACAAGATCCAGATCAAGAAACACAATATCATTCGTACCCATGTCATAAAAACTCCCAAATATCAGAAAATAAACACTTTATCAAGCAATAATATGAATCAGTTAGTCGAAATTTATCAACAAAGCGACAACAATAAAGTTTGTAGGATACTACTTTCAGCTATGGATGATAATTAAGTTGTGTTAAAGAACTCTGGAGAGTAGCAAACTAGACCTAGCAAAACATACAGGCAAACAAACAAAGTCGAATTCGAAATTAATCTTCAATATGATTATATGAATCAGTTTTGTTAGTCGAAATAAATTCATCAACAAAGCAACAATATGATTATATATAATAATAAATTATATGAATTTGGAAAATATGAAGGATGAACCTGTTTTTCTTATTTTCATTCATGGAAACCCTAATTTCTAAATGTCTAACTAAAAAAGGGAAAAAAAAAATACAAAACATAACATGATGCAATCAAATCAAAAGTGAATGTTCCTAAGATTGATTGACCTGATATTATTTTCGATCGAATTAAAGACTCCGCACAGCACCGCGCCACGCCACCGCTTCCCGCCGTCCCTCGACAAGCCCACCCTGGTTGACCGCCGAAGTTCGAAACCCAACCCAACCCTACACTACACTACCCTGGTTAGTGTTAGTGTTAGTGGTGAATTATGAGGAACAGAACATATCAGAGGGAGAGAGAAAAATAAGAGCTCCATCCTTTTTACTTTTTATTTAACTAGTCGAGCAATCGCGCGCCAAAATGATATTATCGGGTGTGGATATTTTGGAATGTAAGTCTGTGTATGCTATTAATCCGTGTAGAGTGTTTTTCTTTTTTTCTTTTTTTTTTTTTTTTTTTTTGTTTTTTTTTCCTATTTCTATTGATTTTGAATGTATGACAATGTAAATATACTCTAATTGAAAATTGTAATTACGAAAGAAAGAAAGTGGAGCTGGTGGATGCGGAAGTTCGGACTTTCAGAAGAAAGAGAACTATGCAAAATCCTTTTGTGGACAACCAAAGAGTACTGCTGAAAATGCTGGTGACTGTATATTGGATAGGGCCTCTGTAGAAGACGGCCTGAGTAACTGAGATGCTAAAAAAGGAGAGGGAAAGTCTTAGTTTTCATGGGGACAATTAAGTGATTCAACTCTAAAGAAGTTTGCACTAAGTGCTGATCCATGGGGTTTCGATAAGTCTAAGCAGTCTAGAAACTCATCTGGTTGGGGTTTCTGAAGGGACCAAGTTTGGAAAGGACAATGAGAAACAGGACTCTTAGGGGAAACCAAATTCTTCAACTTGGAAGGAGTGAGATTTTCAATTTCTTTCATATGATGAATAGTGTAAATGAGGATAGATTGATAGTAGGGGCTTAGGTGAAGATATTGATAATTTTGACAAGAGTGTTTTCATGGAATAAGCCTAGAAAGGTTGGTTCTGAAGATGATGAGAAGGATGATGCATTGATGTAGGTGTTGATAGCCCAATATGGTAAAATCGGGTGTGGATATTATGTAGCGTAAGTGCATGTATGCTATTAATCAGTGTAGTTATTGTTATTTTGTTTTTTATTATTGCTATATTTTACTTTATAAAATATACAACTTTAAAAAATATAATTGGAAAATAGTAATATGTCTTGGGAAATATATAACTTCTTTAAAGTGGCCTCTCTCTCTCTCACCCCCCAAGCCCCCCCCCCTCTCTCTCTCTCTCTCTCTCTCTATTTCGCATGCATTTTGTTAAGCCTTTTTCCTTAGCTAATTGCCCCGACTTTCTTTAGCGATCTTTCATAAGTGGTCTCTCTATCTTTCTCCTAAGCTAATTGCCTTGATTTTTTAAGTGAGCCTTCTTAAGTGATCTCTCTCACTCTCCTAATTTGATTGCCCTGATTTTTCTTAAGTGAAATTTGGTAAGTGGTCTCTCTCTCTCTCTTCTTCCTAAGATAATTTCCCCGATTTTCTTAAATGATCTTTTTTCTTAAGTGATCTTTCTTTAGTGGTCTCTTTCTCACTTTTTCCCTAATTTAAGCTAATTGCCTTGCCTTAAGTGATCTTTCTTAAGTAGTCTATTGATTTTCTTAGGGGATCTTTCTTTTCTTAAGTTACCTTTCTTCTTAAGTGATCTTTCTTCTTAATTGTTCTTTCTTCTTAATTGATCTTTTTTTTTTAGTGATCTTTCTTTTTTCTTGAGTGGTCGTATTTCTTCTTAAGTGATCTTTATTAAGTGCTCTCCTTATCGCTCTCTCTATCTCTCTAAGATTTAGTAACTCTTTTTTCCTAAGCTAATTTCTCTTATTTTCTTAAGTGATCTTTCTTAATTGGTATCTCTATTTTTGTTAAATGATCTTTTTTAATTGGTTTCTCTCAAATGATCTTTCTTAAGTGGTCTCTCTCTCTCTCTCTCTCTCTCTCTCTCTCTCTCTCTTTCTCTTTCTCTTTCTCTTTATTTCTCTCTCTCTCTCTCTCTCTCTCTCTCTCTCTCTCTCTCTCTCTATCTATCTATCTCTCTCTAAGCTAATTGTGTTTTTCTAAGCTGATTGGCCCGATTTTCTTAAGTTATCTTTCTTTAGTGGTCTCTCTCACTCTTTCCCTCTTTCTTGCATTTTAGCGTAAGCCTTTTCCTAAGCTAATTGTGTTTTCCTAAGCTAATTGCATAGATTTTCTTAAGTGATATTTCTTTCTTTATTCTAAGCTAATTGCCTTGATTTTTTTTTATTTTTTTTATGTGATCTTTCTTAATTAGTCTTTCATCTCTCCAAATCCAATTGATCCTATTTTCATAAGTGATTTTTCTTAAGTGACCTCTTACTCTTTTTCTCTCTTAAGATGATTGCCATGATTTTCTTAAGTGATCTTTCTTGTGTTGTCTCTCTTTTTCTCTCGCATTTTAGTAAGCCTTTTTCCTAAGTTAATTGCCCTAATTTTCTTAGGTGGTATTTCTTAAGTGGTCTCTCTCATTCACTCTTTCTTTCTCTCCCTTTCTTAAGCTAATTTCCTTAATTTATCTCCTAAGCTAATTGCCTAGATTTTCTTAAGTGGTCTCTTGATTTTCTTAAGTGACTTTTCTTTTTAAGTGATTTTTCTTAAGTGATCTTTCTTCTTGAGCAATTTTCTTTTTCTTGAGTGATTTTTATTCTTAAATGATCTTTTTAAAGTGGTCTCTCTCTCTTTTTAACATTTCAGTAACTCTTCCAAAGCTAATTTCTCTTATTTTCTTAACTGATTTTTTTAAGTAGTCTCCCTTTTTTTGTTAAGTGATCTTTTTAAAGTAGTCTATCTCAAATGATCTTTCTTTAGTGGTCTTTCTCTCTCTCACAAGTGATCTTTTGTATGTGATCTCTCTCTCTCTCTCTCTCTCCCTCTCAAGTGATCTTTCGTAAGTGATCTCTCTCTCTCTAGTGATCTTTCTTCATAAATTAGCTTAACAAAACGAAATTAGCTTAAGTGGTCCAACATTTTAGTAAGCCTTTTCCTAAGCTAATTGCTCGATTTTCAATGTTTAGTGATATTTCTCTCTCCCTCCTTCTCTTTCTTCCCCTCCCTCTTTCTTACTCTCTCTATAGCATTTTAGTAAGTCTCTTCTTAAGCTAATTGTGTTTTCCTAATTGATTGCCCTAATTTTCTTAAGTGGCCTTTCTCCCCCCCCCCTCTCTCTCTCTCTCTCTCTCTCTCTCTCTCTCTCTCTCTCTCTCTCTCTCTCTCTCTCTCTCTCTCTCTCTCTCTCTCTCTCATTTTAGTAAGTTTCTTCTTAAGCTAATTGTGTTTTTCCTAAGATTGCCCTAATTTTCTTAAGTTGCCTCTCTCTCTCTAATCTCTCTTTTCCTTCCTTCCTTCTCTCTCTCTCTCTCTCTCTAAAGCATTTTAGTAAGCCTTTTTCTAAGCTAAATGTGTTTTCCTAAGCTAATTTCCCTCATTATCTTAACTGATATTTCTTAAGTGGTCTCTTTCACTTTCTTCAAAGCTAATTGATGTGATTTTTTTATGTATTTTTTTTTAATTAGTCTCTTTCTCTAAAGCCAATCGACCCGAATTCCTAAGTGATCTTTCTTAAGTGGTTTATCCTTCTCACTCTTAAGCTAATTGTAACGATCTTCTTAAGTGATCTTTCTTATGTGGCCTGTCTTTTTCTCTCGCAATTTAGTAGGTGTTTTTCGTAAACTTGTTTTATTTTCCTAAACTAATTTCCCTAACTTTCTTAAGTGGTCTCTCTCTCTCTTTCTTCTAAGCTAATTGCCCAAATTTTCTATGTGATATTTCTTAAGTGCTTTCTCTCTTAAGCTAATTGTCATGATTTTCTTGAGTGATCTTTCTTAAGTGCTAATTGCCCAAAGTTAATTGACGTGTTTTTTATGTGATCTTTTTTAATTGGTCTCTTTCTCTAAAGCCAATTGACCCGATTTTCTTAAGTGGTTTCTCCTTTCTCTCTCTTAAGCTAATTGTCATAATTTTTTAAAGTGATCTTTCTTATGTGGTCTCTCTTGATCTCTCGCAATTTAGTAAGCGTTTTTTGTAAACTTATTTTGTGTTTCCTACGCTAATTTCTCTAACTTTCTTAAGTGATCTTCTTAAGTGGTCTCTCTCTGATCTCTTTCTTCTTAGCTAATTGCCCTAATTTTCTTAAGTGAAATTTAAGTGCTCTTCCCCCTTCAAGATAATAAACCTGATTTTCTTAAGTGATCTTTCTTTAGTACTATCTCTCTCTCTTAAGCTTAATTGCCCTGAATTTCTTTAAGTGTTATTTCTTAAGTACTTTATCTCTCCGTCTCTCCTAAGCTAAGCTATGAGTTTTTTAAGTTAATAACTCTAAATTCTCTTTTTTATTTTTTGAAAGAAGTCCAAAAGGACACTAAATTTCATTGATTAAAGTCATACGACATCTACAATTGATAAATAACGATAATGAAAACAGATTTAACAAAATCAAACAAGAATTAATTGGAGAAGTGCTAAGAATCCAAATACATAGATATAACAATTCGACATATTCTCGATTCGTTGTCTCATACAACTTTTGAGTGGATCCGTCGATGCTTCAATATTTTGTGAGGAAAAAATTTCTTGTGATAATTTTGTAACCCGAATTCGAGCAATAATCAATTGTAGCCCCATAAAACTGGAGACCCTATCAAACGTAAATAACACCTTGTCTTTTAAAGGAGTTCGAAAAACCTTTTCTTTTGAAGGAGAATTTGAAAAAACCTTGTTTTTCAAAGGAGATAAACTCTTTCTTTTGAGGGAGACATTATTATAACCTAAGAATTAAAAGAAACTTAAAAGAAACAAACGATTGGGGCTTTCCACTAGTGAAATCTGATGGAAGCCCCTTCAAAATTTACAATGGAGAGTAAAATTTAAGAGAACTCTGAATTGTTAAGCAATCCTTCTTAAGTGGTATCTCTCTGTAACATTTTAGTAAGCCTTTTGCCTAAGCTAATTGCATTTTCCTAATTGAATTGGCCTAAATTTTCTTAAATGCATGGTCTCTCTCTAGTACTTTGTAGCTATTTTTCCTAAGCTAATTTATCTAAATTTTCTTAAGTAATTTTTCTTATGGTGTCTCTTTTTGTTAAGTAATCTTTCTTAAGGGGTCTCTCTCAAATGATCTTTCATAAGTGATCTCCCTCTCTCTCTTGCTCTCTCTCTCAAGTGGTATTAATTTGGGAAAGCATGACAAAATCACGCGTCGATCGGTGTAATTAATGTTAATTTTAGTTTAATCTTTCTACTTTTAGCTAGCTTATCCAATGCCCCTGGGGCATTCATTAGCTTTTGCCTAATAATAATAATGTTTAATGTATAATCAATCGTTTAAAATGGGTTAAATAAACTAATGTTAATAATAAAGTTTTTAAAGTGGATATTTTTAATGTATAATCAATCACTTTCTCACCCCTCTTTCTCTCTCTCTCTCGTCCTACTCCCTCCAAAACTGAGATTTACAACTACCTTGATCCGATGAGTAGCGCAAATGAGGCAAGATTAATAGAAGGGGCTTAGGTGAAGATATTGACAACTTTGACAAGGATGTATTAGGGACACGTTTCCTCTCAAGAGGATCTGGTTCACCCTTAATTGGTACTACGTCCGGATCAATTTCTGTTGGAGGAGGTGGAGGAAGAGGTTGATGAGTGGCATTTATGCCACTTTTCCATCCTTTTTCTCAAAGGATTCTCCCCTTATTTGCACTTGTTTGAGCCTTTTTAAGCATTTTTACCTTAGTTTTGCCTTCTCCTTTCCTTTCTCGTGTTTCCTTTCCTTTTTCCCCTTTTTGTTGGGTTTTTTTTTTCTAGTGTTTCTTTGTTGTTTTGTAGGTTTTTGGCCCGTTTGGATGAACCTTTGGATGCATGACGAGCTATGGAAAGGAAATATGATGCTCAAGGATGGCACAATGGCAATGGAGAAGCCGCGGGCGCGGAGTCAGAGGCCGCGGGCGCGGTTGTTCAAGCTTGAAGATGCCTCAACTTTCGGGAGATGCTGCGCCGCGCCCTAGAAGAGGGCGCGGCACCTGGAGCCGCGGGCGCGGCTACTCGAGGCTGGCAGCTCCCCTGATGTCTTGCCGCGGCCTCTCCTCAGCAGGAGAGGCCTCTCCTTTCTTCAGCCGCGGGCGCGGGCGTAGGAGCCGCGGGCGCGGTTTGCTGGGCTAAGCAACTCCGTACCCACATTGGAGAGGGCGCGGCTGATGGCTAGAGGGCTCTCCTTGGTGTTTTATTTCCGTCTTTTATGATGCATATAAATAGTTCCCTCATTCAAGTTTGTAATCATCTTTTATCTTATGAACAATTAGCCCTAATCTTAGAGAGAGAAAGTGGATTATGACTCAAGTTTCCTCTATTGTATTCAACTTTGATCAAGTTTAATCTTCAATCTAGCAACCTTTCAAGCTTTCCTCTTTCATTAATCTCCTCTTTAGTATTCTCTTATCCTTTCTCTTTATTTTATTTATTTGCCTCTTAGTTGCTTACTTCTATTAATCTATTATTTCATCTAGTTATTACTATTTTTATAGTTCTTAATCATGTTTTGTTTTGTGTTTCTTGAGTCTATATCTAATCTTGCTATAATGTTTGTTCTCCCTTCTCTAGGCTAATTTCTTAGCTAGGGGAAGGGGGTGGAAAATATGTGTTGAATATTGGATGAATGATGATGGTTGGATTGAATACATGCCTTATATTGATGGAAGATATGATTTTTGATAGCTTGAGATTATTGTTGCACTTTATTTGATTGCTCTCTAGTTTAAATGCATGAAAATGATTTGAACTAGATTAAGATTACCTCTATTTTAATGATTGCATGAGAATGAGTTGTTAAAGTGGAGCTTTATGGATTGTGCTTCTTTATTCTCTTGTTTTGCTTGTAACTAACAGGATGCATGCGAATGATCCAAGTTAGTATAGACCTCTTCCATTGATTTGCCTTGATGATTGCATAAGAATGAATTGTTTAGGTAGAATCTTGTGTTCTTTGGCATGTTCTTCATGATAGCTATCATTGTTCCCCTATTTCTAATCATGTTTGACACCCCCGTATCCCTAGCGTTGTTTTCTCTTGAGTTTATTCATCTCTATCTTTGCTTATTTGTAGTCTTAGTGCTTAATCCAAGAATCAACAAAAACATTTCCCTTCTTACTCTTGCTTAGTGATTTTGATGTTGAACGAGTGTGCTTCCTTAGTGGTTCGACCCTTTACGTACCCCTATACTTGTATTAGGGTAGTCTAGGATTATAAATGATTAATTTGATTAGGGTAGTAGCTTAACGACCTATCTTATCCCTATCAAATTTTGGCGCCGTTGCCGAGGAGGCGACTTGTTTAGTGTCTATTTTTGCTTTTGTTAGAGTAATTTTAATTGCTTTTCTTTTTGTTTTGTTTATTCTATCATACTTGTCATTTCTAATTGTTTGCTTAGCTTTGGTGAATGCTTAGAAGATCTCAAGGACCACCCACACATCAAATTGACCAAGAGATCAACCGAACTCTAAGGCAAGTCCGTAGGCTTTTAAGAAGAAGGAAGAGGTCTTGGTGCTATAGTTGATAGTGGGAGTGATTCTTACTCTTCAAGTTCGCAAAGTGAGTCAATGGCGGGACAAGAAGATGATGTGTTGTTTCATGAGTTCGGAAATCCGGAGGATTATGATCTCACGGGAGGGATTTTGCTACCCGTCACGGAAACCAACTTCACAATTCATCCCCAATATACTAGAATGGTCCAATCGGAACAATTTTCGGGTTCTCCAAGTGAAGACCCCATAGAGCACCTTGATAGATTCCTTGAGCTATGTGCCATGATACAAACCAATCAAGTTTCTCAAGAGTACATCCGAATGCATCTATTTCGACAATCTCTTTCGGGTAGAGCAAAGAAGTGGTTGAAGCAAGTGAAGCCTAACTCTCTCACGACATGGAGGGAGGTAGTCAAGGCATTCTTGAAGAGGTTCATTTCCGAGGAAAAGACCGCCGAAATGAGAAGGAAGATTGCATCATTTGAACAAGAAACGGATGAGAGTCTTAGTGAAGCTTGGGAGAGGTTCAAAGAGTTGGTACAAGCGTGTCCTCATCACGAATACAATCAAAGTTTGCTCATGAGGTTTTTCTATGATGGATTGGAGCCTATGTCTAGAGCTAACTTGGATGCGGGGGCGGGTGGACAATTGATCAAGATCCCCCAAAATCAAGTGGAAGCAACAATCGAGGAGGTAGCAAAGAATTACTCTTGGGGTGGTAGAAGAAGGAATGCACCAAAGAAAGGTGGAATTTATGAATTGGAGAAGGTTGATCAATTACAACATCAAATTGAGCAACTCACAAAAGGGCTTTCCAAGTTGAACACGAGTGTAAATGCAAGTTCAAGTGGTGGAGCGAGCTCTTCTCAAGTTAACTCTTTCTCTTGTCAAAATTGTGGAGGAACGAACCATGATACATCCTATTGTGGAGGTTTGAGCCCCGAGCATGTAGCGGCATACAACACAAGGCAAGATGGTTTTAGAGGAGGCGACGATGGAGTAGCTTGGAGACAACCACCACCCGGGTTTACATCTCAACCTCAACAATGGAGCCAACAAGCTCAACCTTCTTACAATTCCAACCCCCAATACCAAAATCCACCTCCATCTCAAAACCAAAACCCAAGAGGGATCTACCCAAGGAACAACCAATACAACAACCAACACCAATACAACAATCAAGCCCAAGTGCCTCAAAGAAATCAAGAACAAGCACCTCAAGCGGAGCCAACACCAACTCAACTCCTTCAAGCCATGCATTCACAAATGCAAACCTTTGGGCAACAAATGCAAGAAATAAGAGCTCACAACAAGATGGTTGATTCACAACTAGCTCAATTGGCCGAGAGAACTCCTTTCAATTCACCATCTACTCTACCCGGACAACCACAACCTAACCCTTCTCATAACCAAAAACCCGATACATGCAAGGCAATCACATTGAGGTCGGGAACTTCCTATGATGGTCCAAATGAGGGGATAGTGAGGAAAAGAAGGGAGGAGAAGAGAGTGTGAATGAAGACAAGAGAGGTGAGAAGGAAAAGGTTGATGAGGTAGAAGGAAGTTCGGAGAAGAAGAAGCTTGACAATGAGAAGACAACTTCAATTCCTAGTGAGACTAGGAACCTTGATGGACCGGTTCTGTTTCGGGGTTTTCTGATGTCCTGCGGGAGAGTTACAATACCGAGACTGGAACCGGACGCCTGTACCTGCAAAACAATGAAGACTCCTTGTGGTAGGAGCTCCGCCTCCAACGGTCAAGTTAGTAACTGTTTAAGGAGTGATTAATGCGGAAATTAAGGTGATTTGGTCTCTCTAGGTGAGAGTGTTTAATGTGTAATCCGTGTGTTGTTTCGAGTTCTCCCCCCTCTTAATGAGGATTAAGAGGGGTATTTATAACCTCGGGAAGCGTGCCACTCTCTAGGTTTAGGGTAAACCTAGGGCTGACTGGGCCTCTAAACAGGATTGGGCCTTGTTGGCCGATTTTCCCACTTGGCATGGGTGGACACGTGTCGTGTCTCAATTGGTCCGTAGAGGACGTATCTGTGATTGACACGTGGCAGGCTCCTATTGGCCTACGTGAAGGACACGTGGCGGAACCTGGTTGGTCCACTTGTTAGACGGTGATTGGTGGATAAAAATCCCCTAATCATTTGCCCCTCACAGGTGGCACGTGACTGGTCACGTGTCACCTGTGACAGGTGTCGCATGGTGACAGGTGACGGCCTGCTACAGGTGTCACCTTGCAAATGGCCGAGAGATTTTCCCGCCCAAATTTTGAATTTGGGAGTGACCCTTCGCCTTCTCACTTTGCCTATATAAGGAAGTGCTGACTTCGGTCATTTTCACATTTGAGAACTTTGCGAGAGAACATTCGGACCCCTGAACTTGCTCTGACACTTTGGACTTTTTCTGCCTACCGCCTGCTCTGACAAGCCGTTTGCAAAGGATTTCAGAATTTCATCAATCGTCACTCGTTCAGGTAACCGTCGGTTCTCTTACTCTTAATTTTTTTCTTATTATTATTTTTGAAATGGCACCATGGAAGCACACGACACGACCTAAGTTAGTGATCAGCCGGTCACCGGGGACGGCTGAATCTAGGACTAGGAGTGCCGCCTGCCCTTTTCTGGACCCATCTTTGCCCTTTATACAAAGTCCGACTGTATCTGTGTCTATGCAGAACATGATGGCCAGAACAAAAAAGACTGCTAGGATCTCAAACTCGGACGGCTCCTCTCAAAGGGTGCCAATTAGTGAAACATCTGACCAGGCGCCAGATGTAGAAGTGAAACAAGGCGGCTGCCAAGCCGACAGTTCTGAGGGAGGGGTCAAGGTGGTCCCTTCCCATTTCACCGTTGACATGTCTAATTTTTCTCCTGCTCCTTCTAAGGGAGAGGAGGCGGGCCCCTCTGGGAGAGGGGAGGAGTCGTCCTCTTCGAACTCGTCAGAGGACGAGTCCGAGTCCAGCTCTTCTGGCCACGCTTCTCAAGGCACAGAAGAAAGAAACAGCCGCCTACAAGAAGCGAGGCTTTCTCATGCAGTTGAGAAGGGGGATAATTGGGCGGAGCCGTCCGCCTCTTACCGAGAGGAAAACACCCCCTACTACTGCACGGTACCCCGGGGCCGGATCGCAGCCATGCAAGACAAAGTGGAGAGCTTTATAGCTAACCACAGAATGGGCCCCGGATTTTTACTGTTCGTGCTGGATCCAGAAGACACTGTCGTCTGGCCGGCTGGTACCAGCTATGATGACGGCTGCTTTGGCTGCTATGTGGCGGCCATCAAAGCTGGACTGCGCTTCCCATTACATCCGGCTGTTCAGCGGATTTTAGATGGGTATGATTTGGGGTTATGGCAGTTAGCCCCCAACTCTTGGGTAAACGTACTCGGCTATGTGGCCGGGTGCGAAATGTACGGGGTGGAGCCAAGCTTTGAGGCTTTCGCCCACATGAACTATCTCAGCCGGACCCCTAAGTCGGGCGGTACCGGCTGGTATCAATTAACAAGCCATAGGGGCTACCTCATGACGAGAGGTAAGGCGAACAAATGGAAGGATTGGAGGAACACCTTCCTTATCATCGAGGGTTCAGACACGGAGCTGAACAAACGCTTTAACAAGTGGAATAGGGATCCGCCTCTTCTTGCAGGCGGCCGCAGCATGCCGCCTGTTCCCCCAAAGGCTAAAAAAGAGATCCTAGACAAAGGACTCTTCAAAGTAGAGACTAGGGTGAACTCTACTTCAAGGGTACGAGAGCAAGTACCCCTAAACTGCGTCCCGAGCTTCAAGTGGCTCTATGACGAGTACTTTTTGGCCGCCTGTGGCCTCAGCAGTCGGTGCTCTAGAGGTAGCCGGCCTGACAAATACTCTGTTTTTTCACGCTTTGTTTACTTGGGATTTTTACTAACTTTGCTGTTTATTTTTTGCAGCTGACGCCATGAGTAAAATAACAGCATCCAAGACTGCGGCGGCCATGTTGCGGGCCTCTCTCATGCAACAGTCTTGTACCGACTCCCCCAATAAGGGGGCACCCTTGGTGGGCTTCGAAACTCTTCCTCTTTTTGGAGTAGTTGTCTTATGCATATACTAACTCTTTTTTTTTTTTTTTTTTTTTTTTTTTTTTTTTTTTTTTTTCAGTCGGGCACTCCAAGAGCTTCTTCCTCGCAACAGCCGGACCCCAAGGCCCGGAGGACGACTGTTGCAAGCTCTCCTGGGTCTTCCAGGAAAACAGTGGCGGCTGAGAAGCAGCCGGCCACTTCTTCTAAAACTCCGGCGGGGCCGCCTAGAAGTATGGACAATTACTTGTAAAAACTTTTACACTTGCTTTGACTAGGTCTAACTTGCTTTTTTACGCTTGATGCAGCCGGCCCTCAGGAGCCTGACTTGGTAGAGGTAGCCAAGTCCATGATCAAAGCAGTTCCTCCATCTGAAAGGGAGGCGGTCAGGGGTGTCGGCACCCTTGACCTTGATGAGATTGCAGAGGTCCTTGCTGAGGTATACTTAGCATTTTTTGAGTATTTGAATTCCAGGACGCCTGTTATCTTTTTTTCTTGGAAACTGACGCATGTTTTCTCTTTACTTAGGCCCTGATCCGAGTGAACGGCCTTCGCAAGCCGCTTGATCGGAAAAACAAAGAGGTAAAGGCTGCAAAAGCTATGGCCGCCTCTGACTGTGATAAGGCAATGTTTCAAATTGCCCAAAATGAAGTTCTGACAATTGATATTCTTTATTATCAGGCGCAGGCTGCCGCCGCTATCCGGGCTCAGTTAGAGGCGGCCCTGAAGAGGAACAACGAGCTGGAGGCGACCGTCTCCAATCTCAAGGCCGAGCTTAAACCTCTCCGCCAAAAGATGCTCTCATAGGAAGCCATGGAGAAATCCTTGGCTAACGTAAAGGAACGCCTGGTGACCCAGGAGAAGAGTCTAACTAAAGAGCTCTCGGAGAAGGCCGAGCAAGAGAAGAGAGAGCTCGTCCGAGAGATGATGGAAGACTCTTCCCAGATCCAGCGCATGACCTGGAGCCGCCTCTTCCCCAGTGCCGACTTTGCCTCGTGGGAAAAAACGTACCGCCAGTGTTCTGAAACATATAATCAAGAGATCCTGGCGGCTGCTGAGGACGAGGAGTTGGAGGAGGCCTTGGATGGGGATGAGCAGCCGATAGTGGCGCTTGTGCCACTTGGGGGCAAGGCATCGAAGAAGGCTGCAGCTGAGGCCGAGTCTAGCAAGAAGAATGCTGACCAGGCGGGAGCTGCTAATGTTGAAGATTTGCCCCCTTCTTAAGCTTTTATGTCTTTTTCACGGCCTGCGTGCCGTTTGCTTGTATTTACCCGGCCAGGGGGCCGGGGTTCTGAATATTTTAATCTTCTCTAATGCAATTTTATTTTGCTTGAAATTTGTCTAAGTGTTGAATATTTGATATTGAATTGTACACTATATCGACTGTTTTGCATGGCCGATTATAGACAGGTACGGGTGGTCCGCCTATGCCCCTGGACGACTGGTTGTTTGTTTCCAAGCTGGGCGATCAGTCGGCCATTTATTCAATCGGTATTGGTCCCGTTTAAAAGACTGGATTACCTTTAGGCAGGCGGTCCTGTTATTTGTAAAATTAACCAAGTAAGAAAGGGTTTTCTTACTTGTATTTTGTAGGCTAGACTTTTAGGCAGTCTATGACTGGATTACCTTTAGGCAGGCGGTCCTGTCATTTGTAAAATTAACCAAGTAAGAAAGGGTTTTCTTACTTGTGTTTTTTTTGCTATAGGCAGTCTAGGACGACTGTTTCCTATCAGTGTGAATAGGTGTTGTATGAACTTTTTAATTTCATACTAAAAACTTTTAAGGGGTGACTAAGTAAATATGGCTCTTACCTAGTCGCCGAGTGATTGAGTAGTAGAGGTATCAAGCGGTGGGTACCGGTTGTTCCCCTTTATTCGCCAATGTTTGTTGGCTATTAACTCGAAGGGAAACCTAGTAGGAATAGTGGTTTGAATGCCCTTGTTTGCCAAAAAACAGGTGGTCTATTCAAACTTTTTAGGTTCCATACCAAGTTTGGGAAAGTGACTATGAGTTAACGTTGGTGTTACTCAGTCGTCCTCATTCTAGATTGAGTAGTAGAGGTACCAGGCGGCAGAGGCCAGCTAGACCCCTTGATTCGCCAATGTTTGTTGGCTATTAACTCAAGAGGTACCCCCTGCATTTATCCCAAGTAATACAGGCGGTAATCCGACTCAGATGTCAACTGTTACCACTAGTTTGGTTAGTGATAAAAGTTATCCTTGTCTCAAAAACGGCTACGTGGTTGCCCTTGGGGACAGTCGTATAGGTGCCGTGTGATTAGTTTATAGAACAATGTTCCACCTAAAAGGGAGCTGCTCTCTGCGACGAATTTCATCCGGATGGATGCCGTCGGACGCCTGCTATAATGTTGGGACAGGTCGAATTGAATTTTTATATTTTGATCAGTTGGCTTGACACCTGGTCTGATCATGTTTTTTGATAGTTCTTGGTGAACTATAT